CCGGAGCTAAATCGCAATACGCATGCAGATATGCCGTTATTTCTGGTCACGTAATTCTACGCTCGCTGTACCACCGCCTGTCCTGCGGGTGACGTGGCGAGCTGAGTCAGAGATGATGAACGATAAAAGCAGGATCAAATATGCAGTCTGTACGCTACGATTTAGAGCCGGGTCTGACGCGCGCTAGTTTAATACCATATCAAATTTTGCAGTCTGTACGGGTGTACGGGGTTTTATACACACACATCCTTAGCTCCACACAGCACCGCACACATGGTTTATACGCACCATCCTGCGTATGAGAAGAGGCCAGAGTAGAACGCCAGAACGATGTTAGCAGGTCCTTTCGTGCCCTCGAAAGAATTTTCGAAGTTAGCTGTCTGACCTAAAAAAAACCACAACAACACATTGAACAGTTATACTGTCATTCCTCATTACCAGCGAGCACATTCACTATTTAAAGATAATCATCTCTTCACACGTTTGGGTCACATTACTGATGTTTCCTAGTATATTACAGTGTTCTGAGAGCTGTAAAGAACACATGGAAGCGATCTTATCGATTCCTTGGCCGCAAGAAATCACCAATCGACTCACACGTGTTCTTGGACACATGCAGGACACAGAGCCTCTGTGTAGCTTTGCTTCCCTGCCCTAGTGCAATAGCAGTTTTAAGATTATGGCAAGACCTGTGTATTAGGGATCAGTGTATGTGCAGTGAAGATCGAGGCACTTGGCCAGTCTAATCATAATTATAGCTGACTCTCCTACATGATGCCTGAAAATGCAGGTTTAAATTTCCAAAGTTATTAAACCACGTGTCATCTAGCCATATTTGAGGCTCCCAAAATGAATTAGGTCAACGAACACATTGGCGGCAAGGTATCGGGTGTACATATATGGACGTTAGACATCAAACTAATTATAGATTAGGTAAAACTGCTATATATAGACTATAGGGTGCCTTGCTCTGGTTAGTTTGTTTACATCCAGTATCAGTATGAATCGAAATATCACATATTATGCCGACTTGCTGAAGTCAACTTCTCCCACAATAATGGCTTTCTATGCTGCAATTGCATAACAACAGAATTACAGTTACTGCTATTTTTACTGTTATAATATGACACACTTTCTGGTGCATGCCTTCTAATCATTGCCTCATTACGTGAGCAGGGGACTGGATCCACCTGTCTCTGTGGCTGCAACCGCACGACAGTTTATGCTAAGAAGGACGTGCAGAGTCTACATGACGACTACACACACGTAAATATTGCATCAAAGGTAACACCATGCAACTGCTGCATAAAATCATACTTGCAGTAACCCGAACTAGCATTTCAACGGTGGGTCCACAGACAGGAGAAGAAAATTGATTTTGCCATTTGCTCCACGCATTCTATTGTCATACGCGTGTAATAGTTTCCTAAAGAAATCGAAAGTAAACAAAACATTAAAGTTTAGCCTGCGTTATCTTTATGGGTTGACCTAGGTTGACCAGGTCAGGGAGAATATAGAGAAGGACACGTTAGGCAAGTGGTTTTTAAGCAACCCGTCTGGTTGGGAGCATGTCGAAATGGTCATGGGAACTGCATACAATTAAGTAGCTGTTCAGTCAAGCACGCGCTGTGCACAGCCGTGCAAATCGGGGGCAAGATCTTATATCCCGTACAGACTACGAATTTGATATGGTATTAAACTAGTGCACGACAGGCCCACGCCAAATATTTGCAGTGTGTACATGCTATCAACCCTCGCCTTAAGCCCTAGGGGCAAGGCAGTTTTTAAAGGGCACATGAGAAATTGCCTTGGATTTTGTAACAAAGTAAAGGGCACCTAGGCTGAATTCTCTGATTTTTCAAGGGCACCTAGGCAATTCTCAAAATCTGCAAAAAAGTACACTGTATGGGGGGAGGGGGTACATGGGGGTGCACTCTGGGGGTACATGTAAAGGGGATGTGAATGGAATTATTTATTATTGATTAATCATTCATGTGTTATAACTCAGCAAGGCCTAGACTTTTGACTAATCTAGAACAGATTAGTGTTCTATTGTCTCTGGGTTCGGTCTGCACAGCCGTTTCAGCTGATTATGGTCCATAGATGGCGCCCTTGAGGCGAAAAGCACATAGCCAATCCGCTTCCTCTCCTTGTTATATTTAGCTCATTGGATCTCGTAAGCCGTATGCGGCGTGCACCGAGTTGTGTTGTGTTAATAGTTGTATTTTTATTGCCACGCAAAACACTGTGAGTGTGAGATTCTGCCTAAAATCTTTAAACGTTGCATTTGGTATGGACTCTCAGAAAATTATATGAACTAAAGCTAAGTTTAGGAACTTTAGCTAGGAAAGGGCACCGACGGCGATTCCATAAAAGGGCACGGCAGTGGACTGCCGTCGGTGATGTGGGATTTTCAGGGGCAGCACAGCATGTGAGGAGAGCACCGTCGGTTACGGCGAGGGTTGCATGCTATCATGCTCCAAATACGCGCTGGCCCGCTCCAAGTTGGCCCCGCAAATGAAGCAGGGCCAGGCCCGGGCTAACTTAGCTTGGGATAAGATAGCCCGCTTGTGTGTGTGTCTGTACGCAACAAGCGGGCCAGACCCGGTGCTAAATCGCAATACGCATGCACATAGCCTTATTTCGGTCACGTAATTGTACGCTCGCTGTACCTCGCTGTCTGCGGGGTGACGTGGCGAGCTGAGCAGAGACGATAAAAGCAGGATCAAATATGCAGTCTGTACGCTACGATTTAGAGCCGGGTCTGACGCGCGCTAGTTTAATACCATATCAAATTTTGCAGTCTGTACGGGTGTACGGGGTTTTATACACACACATCCTTAGCTCCACACAGCACCGCACACATGGTTTATACGCACCATCCTGCGTATGAGAAGAGGCCAGAGTAGAACGCCAGAACGATGTTAGCAGGTCCTTTCGTGCCCTCGAAAGAATTTTCGAAGTTAGCTGTCTGACCTAAAAAAAACCACAACAACACATTTAACAGTTATACTGTCATTCCTCATTACCAGTGAGCACATTCACTATTTAAAGATAATCATCTCTTCACACGTTTGGGTCACATTACTGATGTTTCCTAGTATATTACAGTGTACTGAGAGCTGTAAAGAACACATGGAAGCGATCTTATCGATTCCTTGGCCGCAAGAAATCACCAATCGACTCACACGTGTTCTTGGACCAGTGACAAAAATACACGGGGGCTCGGGGCGATTTACCCCCGAAATGCCAAAAAGAGCCCCGGAGAATGCCAAAAAGAGCCCGAAATGCAAAAAGAGCCGGAAATGCAAAAGAGCCCCCGTAAATTTGCATAGAGTTAAAGGCAAACCAAATTTTAGAGTGCTATTTTCATGCACGCAAGCTTGAAAAGTAGCCTGCGAAAAATAAATTAGATTTGTTTCCCTGTCTTGGACACATGCAGGACACAGAGCCTCTGTGTAGCTTTGCTTCCCTGCCCTAGTGCAATAGCAGTTTTCAGATTATGGCAGACCTGTGTATTAGGGATCGTGTATGTGCAGTGACGAGGCACATTGGCCAGTCTAATCATAATTATAGCTGACTCTCCTACATGATGCCTGAAATAATGCAGCCGTTTAAATTCCAAAGTTATTAAACCACGTGTCATCTAGCCATATTTGAGGCTCCAAAATGAATTAGGTCAACAACACATTGGCGCAAGGTATCGGGTGTACATATATGGACGTTAGACTCAAACTAATTATAGATTAGGTAAAACTGCTATATATAGACTATAGGGTGCCTAGCTCTGGTTAGTTTGTTTACTCCACTATCAGTATGAATCGAAATATCACATATTATGCGACTTGCTGAAGTCAACTTCTCCCACATAATGGCTTTCTATGCTGCAATTGCATAACAACAGAATTACAGTTACTGCTATTTTTACTGTTATAATATGACAGCAATATAACAGTAAATAATACTGTTAATAACAGAATGCAAACTGTGATTATTGGAAATGCACCTGCACGGTTGCAAAAGTTACGACAGATTGATCAAGGCTATAGCCGACAAACCTACCCATAATTTAGGCCTACACAAACAAAACTAGCCACCAGTAAATTGATGCGTAACTAACTGTGGTTATACTGCATGAGTTTACATGGGCAGATAAAGGTGAGCTAAAATAACTCGACTGCTTCAGAGGTGACTCATAAATGATTATATTTAAATAATTTCCTACGACTTTTCCCAGTCTATAACCACATATGTGGGTGAATTGTCTCTCATACTATGAGTCGATCATAGCAGTAGATGTAAGAAAATTATGAGTCTCAAAATGATGAGATACACAAAATGTAAACGATCCAAATGAACTGAGACAGGGCAGGCTGAATATCCTAATTAGAGCAGCTTACTGGACCTCAGTGAAAAAAATACACGGGGGCTCGGGGCGATTTAGCCCCGGAAATGCCAAAAAGAGCCCCCGGAAATTTGCATAGAGTTCAATGCAAACAAAATTTTAATAAAACAAAAGTGCAATTTTCATGCACGCGATCTTGAAAAGTAGCCCCCGAAAAATAAATTTCCCTGAAAAAACAAGAGCTAATAACACATTAATTATTAATTATACATGTATTATCAGCCCTTGATGATAGTTGGCGGGCCTAATACATGGGTTGCAGATACAGTGTCAGTGAATGGCAGCCTGGTTGTACTTTACTGTTTTCAAGTATTGTATGCCGAGCTTTGTTTTAACACTTACAAACAGGTTTTGTGAAGAACGCCTAGATACCGTTCACATGACTCCATGCCACAATAATGCAGAAATGCTGGTGACTACTTATAAAATGCCAAATAAAACAAACCCATCAATAAAGTTATTAGACATGACTAGATAAAGTTATTACACACGGCATGGGAGTAAAAATCAGCAGAAACGAACATACAAGTTCATATGCCAATAAAATAAAATGCAATCGTCTGAGGTGGTGTCTGATAAGAGCCTGGGTCTGGGTCTGGTGAGTGATATTTGTGAAGATATGGACTATGGAAACTTCACAATTAAAGTTTGCCCCTGGAAGTAATCTCTCTTTTTATGATGCTAACATGATGATGACCTATTGCTAACCTTACTGCCTGTCTCCTGGTGTTTGCTGCCATAAACAAGC